TGCCTATAAATAAATAAAATTCTTTTAAAAAATTGTTTAGGAACTTATAATATAGAGAATTGCTTGGGACTCTGAAAGGTTGAGGAACTTGCTCAGAATCACACCATCAGTGTGTGTGTCAGGGGCAGGACTTGAACACAGAACTTGGTGATTCCAAAGCCAAACTGTGCCATATTTCCTCTCTGTTCTTCTGCACCAGCAGCCCAGTAAGTGTGCAAAGAAACACTAGAGCTCCCTTTGTTAAATTTGCAAGGATTATCTCTAAACATATACCTACTCCTTTCCCAGTCTGGGAAGGAAAGAAGGGAGAAAGAGAAAAAAGAGAGAAAGTAAAAGAGGCATTCTCCTGAGCACCTAGGTCCCCCTGTGAGCTCTATTACCCATGAAACCTGCAGTAGGTTCTCTGACATTGTCATAGGCTGTAATGGGCCAGGAAGGAAAACAAGGAAAATACTAATGTATAGTATATTCTCTGTGAGATGATGATGAAGGCCCCTGAAGACTTTTCATTCTGATGAGGTAATTGTTTCCAGGTTCCCTGGCCTGGGGAACCAGGCCCTGACTATTTTAGGGCTAACAGGGCCTTCCCTCAGAACACTTCTGCCAGATTGTTTTGGTTACCTTCCCAGTTGCACCCCATCCAGCCAGGCCCCTTCAGGGGCATACATCACTCTGCCTCTCTACTTGGGGAGCCAAGTATGTCACCTTTCCATTCAGAATTGCTTTCCAGGGCCACCTAATTAACACCAAGGGGAATTACAAGGGGAAAAGCACCTGAATTAGGTAATAGGCTACCACTTCTCTCCCGATACTTTGCAGTAAGTTAAGACCGGGACCTGAGGGACCTTGTTCCCTGCTGACTCATTGCATAGTGATTTTAGTCTGTGGTTTATGAAATGTTATTTTGAAAAGAAAAACTACCCACTAACCTAGTAGAGGCAAAGTAAAGGACACTGGTTGGAGCCCTCCAAAAATCAGCAGGCTGATGGAGGGATGTGAGCAGCAACATGGGGAAGGAAAGCATTGTTTTTTGAGTCTTTTCACCCTCTAAAACCCAGAGATGACCCTGGTTGGTTTCTACAAAGTAGCTTGAAACCCCCTAAATCACCAAGATTAAGGAAATGAGCAACAGAAAGGGGGAAAAAAATCAGTGATTTCCTTGAGCTGTTTCTCTTTCTTGAAAGAGAGGGAAAAAAAGGAATAAAAAGAGGGAGAAGGAAAGAAAAAAAAGGAAGATAGAAGGAAAGAAAGGAAGGAAGGAGAGAGAAAAATGAGAGGAAGGAAAGGAGAAAAGGAAAGAAAGAGGAAAGAAGAAGGGTAAAAAGGAAGGAAGAAACAGAAAACAAACCCCGTAAAAGGTTTTTCTGCTAGGTTGCATAGCAGTTAACAAGGGCTCCCATGCCCATGGGTGTGTTCTGTTCTAGAGATGAAACATGACCAGGCTAGCTTCCTGAATATTTGTATACAAAGAGTGTGACTTCAGCAAGGATGCCATTTCAGAGGGACAGATTGAGACTTAAAGTCACAAGTACTTTGTGAAAATTCCAAATGCATTTACAAAAATGTCACCCCTCATGGGGAGTTGCAGATGTATGTGACATATTTGTTTGTGAATTTATTGATGGATCTTTCATCACCTGCCCTCTGTAGCTGGTAAAAAGATGGGCAGCTAGTGTATCTTGATGATTGCTTCATTTCCATCTTTGCTGTCTGTTTTATGAAACTTTATACTACCAAGACTGTGTTGTATCCATTTAAATTAATTTTTTTCTCTCCCTCCCCCCATATAAATAAGACAATTTGTGGCCAGGGGACTGTCATTGTAGCATTTTTAAAGAATTACACTGCTATCTTTTGTTTTGCTTCACTCGTATTTCCCAAGATTTTTCTTTTCCTATTTCCTCCCCCATTCCAGAGAACCATCCCTTAAAACAAAAAATGAAAAGGGGGAAAATAGTTCAGCAAAACTAACCAGTATACCAACCCAAACTTTTGTCCTATGCAGAGTCCCACATCCATATCCTTCCCTCTTCCATCCCCTCCCCCACAATGAAGGAAGGAATGTATCCACATAACTCTTCGTGCGGGCCAAGCTTAGTTGTCACCATTTCTTAGGCTGCTGTTCTTTCCATTTATGCTGTTGTAGTCAAAGTGTAACATTATTTTCCTGATTCTACTTTATGTGTCACCCATTCGTGTAAGTCTTCTAATGTTTCTCTGAAATCTTCATATACGTGTCTTGTAGTTCAGTGATATTCCATTACATCATTGTTGAGCCATTCCTTCAATTGGTGACCATCTACTTTGTTTCTCCTTTGCTATTGTGAAAAGCTCTTAGCGTGGCAACTTTTGTTGCTCAGTCTCTACAAGCATATGCTTTCTTGTCTCATCAGTTCACATTAAGTGGCCACTTTAAATCTAAATCAGACTGTGCTTTGTATCTATTCAGATGTATTCTCAAGTATCCTATCTTCTCTCTGAGAGGAATGTGGGAGGCAGAAATGTTACTTGCTGATCAGGTTGTTTTAATGGGGAATTTGTTTTGCTCTGTGTGTGTGTGTGTGTGTTTCTTTTGATTTTTAATGATTTAAGAATCAAATTTATGGGACTTTCTACTTAGATGTTAATTAATCTCCCGGAGTGTAGGGAATTTAAATTCCCCCACCAATGCAAACTAAATTAACACTTACTAAAGGTGGCAGTTTCTAGCCCACCTGGTAATGAAAAAGTTGGGCAGCCCTGTGGAAAGCATGACTCCAAGTGTCAGAATGTTTAAGGGGGAGGAGTGAAAGAATTCTTTTTTTTTTTTTATTTTGTTCTTTGGATATTTTTTTATTTTTTTAAATAATTTATTTGTTTTTAGTTTTCAACATTCACTTCCATAAGATTTTGAGTTTTAAATTTTCTCCCCCACTCTCTCTCCTTCCCCTTCCACAAGATGGTGTGAAATCTGATATAGGCTCTACTTACACATTCATATTAAGCATATTTTCACATTAGTCATGATGTAAAGAAGAATTAGAACTGATAGGAGGAACCACAGTAACGAAGCAATAAAACAAAACAACGAAAGAAAAGGAGAGCAAATAGCATGCTTCCATATGCATTCAGACTCCATAGTTCTTTCTTTGCATGTGGATAGCATTTTCCATCTTGAGTCTTTTGGAGTTGTCTTAGATCCTTGCACTGCTGAGAAGAGCCAAGTCAATCCAAGTCAGTCATCGCACAGTGTGGCTGTTACCGTGTATACTGTTATCCTAGTTCTGCTCATTTCACTGAGCATCAGTTCGTATAAATCTTTCCAAGTTTTTCTGAAATCTGCCTGGAAGAGTCTGTGAATTCTAAGGCAGCATAGGACAATGGGAAAAGCACTGGTTCTGGAGTCTAGACCCTGTATTCAAATTAATTCCAACATATGGTACCGAGGAAAGTGTTTTGGATTTTACAGTGATATGATTTAGGTTTGAATCCTGGCTTAGCCATTCCTAGCTGTGTGACTTTGAACAGTTTACTTAATGCCTAATTCCTCATCTGTAAAATGAGAGGGTTAAATTAAATGCCCTCTAAGGTCACTTCCATCTCCAAATCTGTGATTCCATGAATCTGCCTCAGATGCTTACAACCTGTGGCATATTAGGCAAATCACACAAGCCCTTTCCTGGTCTCATTTTCCTCACCTATAAATTAGGGGGAGGGAGATTTGGACTCAGATGGTCCTATGATGTAGGCCTGGAGTTACATCTAACAGAAAGGCCTTGAAGGCTGTGATTTGATCCTCAAGCCCAGCCAGGAGAGTGGGTCACACCTAAGTAAGCCTTGGTTTGCCAGCCCTTGATCAGTTTTTTCATGGAATGTGATTACAGTATCTGAGAGGCAGAGCACATGCCAAGCTCTCTCTCAAGCCAGGACTATAATTATAATAGCTAATGTATGTGTATACACATATGTATATAAATATAGATGATATATATACACATGTGTAAGTATACATTTACATAGAGATATATAATAAACATCTTTCTTGGTGTGGGTGGGTGTGTGGGTGGGTGTGCGTGTACACGTGAGTGTGTGTGTGTAGGGAGCTTGGTGGCATGGTAAAGAGGGTGCCGGGTGTGAAGTCCAAAAGACTCATCTTCCTGAGTTCAAATCTCACCTCAGACACTCACTAGCTGTGTGACCCTGGGCAAGTCACATTACCCTGTTTGTCTCAGTTTCCTCATCTGTAAAATGAGTTGGAGAAGGAAATGGCAAGCCATTCCAGTATCTTTGCCAAGAAAACCCTTGGTGGGATCACATAGAGTTGGATACAACTGAACAACAACATATCTTTCTTTATACATGTATGTGTATATATGTTTACATACATATAGTGCTTTAAGGAGCTACACATATATCATTTGATCTACACAACAACCTGGAAAAATAGGTGCTATTAGTATCATGAGAATGCGAAATGTTGAAATTGAGGCAGAGCGATTAAGTGTCTTGCCCTTCTAGCTCTAAATCTATGATCTAAGCTAGCTTCCTTTTCCAATGGGTCTTTTAACTGAAAGGGAAAAAAGGGCTTTTGGAAAGGAATGCTAGAATTAATCCTTCCTATGTTTTAGCCAAAGGACTCAACTTCCAGACATTTACCTTTCTTTGTATTCTAACTGCTTATTTTACTTAGGTTCCTATGTTTGGGGACATTTGGGGGGAAGAAAAACAAATATCCTATGAAGAATCATTGGGTGTTACTTCTGTAGTGGGAATGAAAAATTCAAACAAGTATCTATTAAATGCTCAGTCTTGTGCTTTACCTTTCTGGAACTCGCTTTCCTCACCTGTAAAATTTGTCTTTGCACTGAGTATATAAAGATTTAAAAAAAAAAAAAAAGGAGGAAATAGTTCCCGCCCTCCAGGTACTATGAGGACAGTAGGTTATATGCACAACATTAAGGAGTCCCACAGTATGAGTTAAATGTCCTAATCATCTTGCTTTCCTTCTTTTTCTCCTTCAGACCCTCAAACTGACACAAGATCTAAAGAGGAGGAAATAAAAAACCCTTTGCCAAATCTGCTCTCAGCAAGTGGACAGTGACACCGTTTACAGCTTAATGACCTTTGTGAATCAATCCTGCATCATTCTCCTAATCAAGCTGAGACTGTTAATGGCCCCTCATCCCCCCCAGCAAAGTTCCTATTAAACTTAAGAACGTATGCAAAATCTTCCCTGTACAGGATGATGGAGCACTTTCCGTGGACACAGCACCCAACGCCTCTGCGCCATCTTGTCAAGACACACTGTGTACCCTCTAACAGTAGTTTCCTGCCAATGATCACGTGGTGTTATAGTATAGCAATGGTTTATGGGCTATTTTAAGTTTTGGTTTTATGTTTGTTTTCTTTTCTCACTCCTGTGCCCATGCAGTAGTTTTTGTTGTTGTTGTTTTTTATTCTTTCTGTTGACTAGATTCACCTACTCTTTCTTTCCCTGGCAAGTTGAAAACTTGGGAAGGAAGCAAACACTTGCCAGTTAGGTTACTGCTTCAGGAGTCCCAGACATTGGATCCCTCTGATGCTATAGACTGAAAGAGCATATTCTTTCATGTTTTGTCTAATAGAAAACTATTCTCTTCTTAGAAACCTAACAATGGCACAATCATTTTCCAAAAACAGGACATAGCACAGGAGAAATGAAGAACAGTGCATCCTATGCAGTGTTTTGTTTTGCTTTTTGAAATTCTGAACGAGAAGATTCTTTGGAGGGTCTACCAAAGAGACCCAGAAGCTGATTTGCTATTGTCTAAATCAGGATGGCCTGTGGTTTTTATGGATTGATCCCATTCAATGTAGTGGACCATCTACTTATTGATTGAAACAGCTATTTTCAGGAGAGAAATAAGCTAAGATGCCCATTCATTGCCAAATGCCACTTAGAAATTTCCCCCCCCCCTTTTTTTTTGGAGGAAAGCAGGGGGAAAAGTAGTTCTGCTCTGAATTGAAAGTGAGATGAGGTTTTCTCAAGTATATGTCAGGCCTACAGTAGATAACCTATGTGAAAAGTGCAGACCAGACTGATGGGGGAGTTTGGGTCTTTCATATTTCTTTGAATACCTTTCCTTGATTATTTTCCACCTCAATGTGTAATCAGATCTCCCAGAACTGTAGAAGGGAGAGAGACAATACCCCACAAGCTGATTTTTTGATATGATCTTGGATTATATTTGAACAAATGAAACAGAAATGAAAGGCCATTTTAAACTTTTTGTTTTATTTTTCAGGCTTTTCCAGATTTTGGTGGTTTTTTCTTTTTTTTTTTAAAGTTAATGGTGCTGTATAGGTGCTTTCTGTTTAACCTGGAAAGTGTGAGTCTTTTTGTTAGTTTCTTTGGTAGGGAGTTGAGTTGGGTGTTCCATTGGTACAGGGAGAATCTGGTATGAAGAAGCTCCAGTTACTCTAGCATTGGATCACTTGTCCAACATGCTCTTTGAAGACTTGGTTTTTTTTTTTTTCCCCACTTTGGATAAAATCATTATGCATATAAATGTATAAATATATTTTATTATGTAGAATACAGAAATGAATAATTATGCATGGGTGGTAAGAATACAAACCTGTATTCCATCCCAAAGTTTCAGTGCAAAAGTTCTCACTGATAGCAGTCCCATGCAGCTACCTTCCATGACACATGAAACACACACGTGCACTTGCCACCATCTGTCGAGCCCCTTTTTTGTTCCTTTACGTTATCTTGGGGGCTGATGTTGGTAGAAATTATACCTGGTGTGTTGGGCATTCCATTTGGTCTCTTAATGCCCCGTCTCACCCCAACCCTGCCATGCCTGTATTGTCCTTTTTGAGTGATGACCCTGTTTGTTTCATCACGTTTCACAGAATTTGTATATGCTTGTGTGGTTGTGGTTATGGTAGACCAACATGGACGTACCAATTTTTTGAACAACTTAAGATCTTATCCTTTTCATTGCAAAAGGTAGTAGTAAGTATTCAGATTGGTCAGTTTGTCAGTGGCAGGGACTTGCTTCCTGTATTCCTTTACCATAATGAGAGTTTAAAAATTGTACAAGTAAGACACCTGTCAAATACTGCTTGCTAGTCCTCTCTGAAAAGCAAAAGGACTGCCTGGTCAGGCACTGGTGAAAGAGAAATACCTCTCTCAATCTTCATTCCTCTGTCTGGAAAGGAGAAGCTAGCCAAGTGGGCCAGAGAGGAGGAATGCACTGTTTTGTTATTTGGTCAGATGGCCTAAGTGGAACCAGCTGGTGGTAGGGAGCTGTTAGGCTGTATGAGAGTTCAGGCTGCTCCAGCTAGAGAGCCTAGAGATTGCAGCTCAGCTCCTGAGTTATAAGGAAGTTGTTTCCTCTTTGTTGCTCTAGACCCCAAGAGTTGTTTGGGGGTGGGAGAGGGCAGGAAGTAGATCAGAAAAAGTACTAAAAGTGTTTCAACTGAAAAAAAAAAGTATTGACTTCCCTTCAGTTATATAGTATCTCTTTCATTCTCTACTTTTCCCACATTTGATAGGTTTTAATCAGAAACTATCTTGAGAAATGTTTTGAACCCAGATTAGAATTTAATCTGAGATAGCTGAGTGCAAGAAAGCACGGGATCAGGGAGCTACAGAACTGAACAGGAAGTCTTTTTTCCCCCCCCCTTATTTAATGACTCAGTGAAACAGCAGCTTAAGCATGGGGTGTTCTAAGGGACTGAATCCCTGAGCCATGCAGGAGGGCTGCAAGAGGGACGGGGAAGGCCTGATCCCTTCTGGTTCTGGACCTACAATTGTTACAGTCTTCCCCTTTATCCGCCCACTGGCTTGAAGTCTCCCAGTTCTATACTGTGTCTCCTTCAGGATGGAGCCTTGGGAGCTGAGGCTGAGCTAAAAGGCCAAAGAAGTAAGATCCGTGCTAGAGTTGCAGCCATACCTCTGTTAACCTGAGCTGGGTAGAGGTGCCACTTGTGGCTTTTGTCTCTCCCTACAGATTAGGCTTAAAGGATCATCTGGAAATACTATGACTGACTTCTGTGTCAACAGAACTAAGTTGGAAAGCAAAGGGAGCGAACCCTACTCTCTCTGGCTGTTCTCAGATCTAGGATGCTAAATAGAAAATGCAGTTCCCATAGCTGATCTGATAGCTAGCATCAGCTAACCAAATTGCAGTCCTTCCTAACCCTTCCTTCCCTACCCCCACCCCTTAGGGTAATATGGGAAGGGCTGCCATTTTTTTTTTTTTATAAGGAAACCAGAAGAGTAACTAATGTTTCTAATTAGACATACACTCTGGGGAACTATTCCCCTCTGAGACCCCTGCCCAAACACCTTTTACCAAAGTTAGGAAACAGCTTAATCACAAGCTTTCCCTGTTATGTACTCAAGTGCAGAATATGCATTGCCCTTTTCAGGTTCAGGTATATCTTTAGCTGTGAATGAATCTGAAGTTGTTTTTCTTTTCTTTTTTTTTTTTTCCCCTCATCTACCATAATGTTATTCTTGCTGAAAAAGTCATTTGGTAGATGTGTGTCATTATTTTTTTTTTTTTACTTTAAAAAAATCTCTCCTGTTAATCAGAGGAGGATGTTTGATACAGTACAAAGCAGGCTTTGTGGTATTTTGTGTGTGTGTGTGTGTGTGTGTGTGTGTGTGTGTGTGTGTGTGTGT